ACTGGAGTGGACAGTGAAACTTTTTTTTTTGTTTGTTTGCATTGGCTCTTCAGTTCTGCATTTTGGTGTTTCATTTCAAAGTACTGTAGTCAGTAGGTAGGGCTGTAAAAATGCAACGATGCATCATAATGCACTGATCTGAAAGCGGTGATTCAATGCGATGATTGTGTAATGTTATATTAAGTCAAAGTCGATTATAATATTTTGTAAAGTATATAGTCGTATACGTTGTTGTATGCTGTGCTGGTGCTCCAGTCACATATTTTAATGCACAATCACTGTTTATTTGCTGAATTTATTGTGGAAAAAATATCAAACAGTAAATGTGGCCTATACAAAAGTTATGACACATTTTAGATTTTACTATTTTCCAGTATTTTCCATTTTCAAATATGTTAAACATCAAAAAGTACCAATCAGAATTAGCAATATTTATACGTCAGCTACTTGTGTTCCTCTCCCTCACACAAAGTGACAGATCACCTGCAGAGTCACAGCCAGAACTCCCAGCAAGTGGGTTATTTAAGCTTTTCTAAATTTGCTAATGGTGCTTGTTATGAAGGTTTATTACACCGTGGTTTGTAGCGTAGCTAAATGCTGCTTCCTACTTGTTGCTGGATCCTACTATAAGTGATTAACTTCATTTATAAGAGCACAATGGATAGTGGCCCACCATAAATATAAGAATAAAAGCTAATATGTTAACTACTCCCCCCAACATCAAGGCTCACAGTATTTCCCCGCAATTGTACTTTACAGCCGTGGCGCACAAAAAAAAACATAAGTTTCTCCACAGTGTGCACACATATGACCATGCTGACTCATAACAGGAGCTTGTGTGACCTCACTTTCGGAAGCAGAGTCCAGCAGTTAACTAGCTACCTAGCTAGCTATAGGTTACGTATATAACTTATATATAACGTAAGATATAACATGCAGAGGGTTAAAATACAGAACATGATACGTCCCTGCTAACATGAACGCTTGAGTTCTCAAACATTGGCTGCAAAATGTAATTAGATCTATAAAATGAGCACTACGGCAGCTCGTTCTCCATTCTGCACTTTTAACTCACCATTCAAGAGCAGCCGAGAAGAGCAGAGTGGTCTATATTTCTGTGAGGGAAGCTCTAACATGTAGGGTTGAACCAGGCTGATTGGCGGTGCCGCTCACTGCTGACACTGGTTGTTAGCGTTGCCTGGGAGATTCTACTGTCAAACATTTTGCATACTGACATGCCCACACAGTTAACTAAGACACAGGGGAATAAAGTAATCACTGCAGAATGATCCAGTACATTGGATCAAATAGAATATTGTTTAAAACTATACAGCTACAACTTTTCCTTATTTGCCTTATTTATTAATGCCAAAGTCAAAAAATCAATCTGGTATAAATCTTATTTTGCGATCCCTCCTCAATAGTGATCATAAAAAGAGGTCATTCTCTAAACTCTAACTGCCCATCCTTTGTGTTCTATCGGCTAAAAAACTGGCCCATAAAAGTTTCATGTTGGTGTGTCGCACTTCGATGATCATAGTTTGTAGACACTCCCTAATCAGCTTTCAGCGGTTTCAGCAGTTCATAGAGATCAACGTGTACTACGCACTTAGAAAGGCTTGAACACATGAATGTTTTGCACTCATTGTTTGAAACTATACAAGTAAGAAAGCAACCATAAATGCAGAAATGAAAGTTTGCTGCTCACAAGACTTTGCTTTCTGTCCATGTTTCAGACTGTTAGTTTAACTCTGTCAGGTTGTCAGAGATTTGATTGTAATCAGTCAAACTGTAGAATTTTATGGAGCAATAAACAAAAATAAAGAGCTGAGTTCCAGATCAGTCTGCTGCTGCAGAATCTGGCGGGTCTGACATTAAAATAAAAATAGTACTAAAATTTCTATATACACCCAAAAAAAAGTTACAAAACTGTCACTGGGGCAGTCCCCCTCTTGTCACTTGGGGTGGTAACCTTAAGGATACATCTCAGTACCTTTAGTCAGGGAACATAACTGAACCACAATCCACTGAAATTATGTTTTCTAAGTTGTATTGACTCCACACACCCCGTCTCGTCTCCAGGCTTTTATTTTACTGTTCTGTTCTATAACACTCGGTTACTTTTCACCTGAAAAGACTTATGTAATGTACACAGTTGGACTTTAAAACCACTGTTGTAACTTTGAAGGGCACATTTACATTGTTTGTGAGGAGGGTTTGATGAATGAAAAATGTACCTGCACAGAACCTTTATTTCTAACAGAGAAGATTGGCTGGAAAACTGCTGCTGTGAGGGAGGGTTCTTCAGAATTTTCTCCTTGCTTTTGAATGTAATCCTGTCGGTAATCACCCTGTTTTTGTAATGTACCAGTAATGTACGCCGTTACATGTATTCCTTTACTGCCCAACCCTGATTGACACAGGCTTTAAAAGACAAAATTCTTGTTTGTCTGTAATCTTTCATCGAAATGTAACCACTTTTGCCCGCATCTTTTGAGTGCTGATTACATCACCACCCACCCAGGCACATCCAGAGGAGGCTTATGCCCCCACCCTTTTGCCCTTAATCTGTGCAAGGCCTCTGCTCTGGTTCAAGATGTGTTTTATGTGAGGGAGTACATCTTGTGCGTTGGCTTGGGTTCCATGAGTTTATTCACTCTAAGACGCCCCCTCTGGTAAAAGACCAACCGCAGAGCGATTTTGTCTCAGTAACTCCAGCCTATCACAGATGCATGCATCACCACAGCGATGGAAATCCCACCAATAAAGCACTGATAAGCTCCTTAAGAAAATGTCTCATTCCAAAATGTGGTTACTGTGAACAACAACCAAACAATAGTGTTGACAGTAGGGAGCGCTGATAACTTTCCAAACCAAGATTTTTTCAAAACTGTCAGACACCTCCATCTTGAAAATGGGAGATGGTCACCTTCATATCAGCCTGTAACTGCATTGTTTTAGGCTGCCTATAATGCTACACTAGAAGACTTTTAAAAGACTTTTAAAGTCCCTCTCACATCTAAACACAATGTTTCATAAAAGAGTTTTTAGTTACAGTCTCTGATTCGGCAAAGACTGGAGATCTTGCAGGGTGTAACAGCCAGTAAATGTGCACTGTTCCTTTAAGAGGTGCTCAAACAGTGTGCACAGAAGCACAGCGCTGTTGTGCAGTAGAGAGAGGGTTTGTGCTTTGTACAAAGACAAGTGGACCTTACCTTTTCTTTTATTTATGTAAGTAATGCGACAAGGGGCTTTGGACTGGTTTCATTTCATATATGAACAGACAGGTGAACCCGTGAGACCTGGCTTCATGGTCAGGTAACTAATAAACAGACTAGTTGGAATACAACAAGGTCACTGGTTGCCATCTACTCATTGTGCTTCATGTATCATCTAATTTCTAATCACCAAAGCCCTCTGCTGCTGGACTGGAGTGAAAGTTGAAGCAAGATGACTCCAAGCGTTACAAGGGTCACTTTTTGCACAAACAAAGATGAAAAATGTATATTAAACAAAGTTGATCAAATCATAATTGGACTGAATCGCTATGAAGTCAGAGATTTACACCCCAGTAGCCCCCCATATCAGATTAGCCATTTAGAAACTACAGCGCATTTTTTTCACAGTTATTCAATTTTAAGGCTCCACACAGAACAGCAACAACAGCTGTGATGTAATTCAGGTTCATAAAAAGGACCAAAAGAGGCTACAATGAATGGCAGAGGAATCCTTTCAGTCCTGAAGAAACATCCCTGAATGGTGGTCTAACAGGTCAGGAATGGCCCTTGAAAGTAGAGGTACAGATGTGTCAAACACTGCTACATGTCTAAAACTACACTTGCAGAGTGTCAGAGGACAGTAAAAAACTGCTACCAGTACATTCCAACTGCAGTTTGCTAGAAAGTACGAAAATAAGTCAAGAACTTGGTCTTACTGATAGATGGAACAAATGAACCTGTTCCACAATGAAGACGTGCAAAAAAGGAAAAATAGACCATAGAATAGAGAATAGACCAGTCTGAAATGACTTCATTTGTGATGGTGTGTGTGCAGTAGCATTATGGCTGCCACTCAGAGGGATCACTAATCCTCAGTCATAATGTGACTGCTGGTGGTAGGTGCATGCTGACGTCTACAGAAACTCAACCTAACACCTCCAAATGCCTTCATCTAAAACACTATGAATGAAGGAGTTCTGGAAACAAATTGGAAAGACCTGATTTAAACCCATTACACATCTCACATGCTGGAGATGAGAGTGCAGGGGAAGTGGGGGAGAGGAGATTGGGGGAGACACCTAAAGCATAAATAAGCCCAGATTTTTATCGTTCTGAAAGCCCGTATTCTTGTAGAGACCTTTTGGTCATTTTATAAACAGTTTCTACATTTGTATCTGTGTCAAGTCCTGATATTTACAAATAAAGTGAACAAAATCATTACACAAGCAGGACCTCAGAATTTAATGAGTTTAAGGCCAGTAACCTCATCTCGCTCAAGACTTTGGCCTTAGTTTCAGAGGCTTATATAATGTGCTGTTGTTTCTATTTTTAAACATGAACATTAGTCTGACCCATTTCTCTCCATTCCAGACAGCAACAATAATGCTAAATTACAATATTTTTCTTCTTTGAAGTAAACAGACCCCAGCAATACAGCATCCTTAAAATATCTTATTGGTCTTGTGCTCGCTTGACTGAACCAACAAGCCCAGGAAGCATTTGCGTGTTTTTTTTTATTTTATTTCCCAGGCATTTCGTGTTGCCGATATAGGCCTAAAATGCACATAATAATACATAATGATCAATTACAGGCGCATTCCATCTGCATTTCTCGACGCCAGTGCTCAGGAATGTTCCCCCCCATCATGTACAGACAAATAGGATAGAAGCAGGGCCTTGAAAGCACTGTACTTTCAACAGTCACAGCTTTTTTTTTTATTGAGCGCTCTTTAATAGCTGAACCCAGACAGGCGGTCTGCAGCGTTTAATGGTCTTACTCACCATGCACTTTCCCAATAATGACAGCTTTGATGGCGTTGAAATCAACGTCTGATGTTAGGTTGAAGTCTTCCCTTGTGTGCTGGTCAATCTGGGAGATGTAAAAAAGACACAGGCTGGTAAACATGGAGGATTGTCAAGTGGAAGAGGACTTCGGCACTTTCATGTTTTAAAATTATCAGGGGGCTGTTCTTCCGTGGCGAGTGTTTTTAATTAAACCCGCTCTTCAAAGTCATTTAAACATGTCGCCGTATAGCGCTGTGCCTCTCCGCACTCTGCAGGGGGAGGCTGGAAAAAAAAAAGTGGGAAGTGCTCAACTCTGGAAAGATTTCCAAGCCTAGCTTACATATTCGAAATGCGATTATCAGCAAGGCTTAGACTAATTGGTGGGGGTTATCTGCTGAAAACCACTCTGGCACAGACTTGTTTCAGCTCCGCAGAGCAGATTGCCTATTGACTGGAGCATTATAGTGACTAAAGGAAGTACAGCTTCTAGCCCCACTTGTTAACCCTAAAGGATCCACTTTGGACACTAAGGGACGAAACAGTCAAATAAACATTTGCTTCAGTCCAGTGTTACAAATGTCTAGTTTGTTACCCAGCATGGTTTACGGATGTAAATGATCCATTAACAAATTTGTGGAATTATTAAGGCTGCTACGTAAGATTAAAATGTACTTTCTTGATGGCTGGTTAGCAATTTGAATGATAATACATATTTACATATTCTCTTACCGTAAGAAACAGCTTGATGAACTACCACATTTTTTTTTTTACCACAATTTTTTTTTTTTTATGTTTTGTAAAGGCTTGTTTGTTTTTTCAGTAATGTCTTTTGGAATCCTTCAAAAGCTAACCATGGTTTGTTACTGTTCAGTTGTTTTAAAACTCATATTACTAAATAATCTATGGATTCATTACTAATATAACTGATTGTTACTGCCTTAATGACTAGCATTCTGTGCTACAGACAGGTGACAAATTAGAGGAAAAGGCAACATGATAGTCTCAGTAAGGTGCTCTCCAACCATGACTTGTCAATATGCCTTGGTATAGATGGACAAGTGGACCCAAACCATGCCAGCAAAATGCTCCCCACATCATAACCAAGCCACCCTCACTGTAGGGGTCAAGTATTCAGGCCTGTACCATTCTCCACATATGCACTCATCCACTTGTGGAGAATATGGTGAAGGATGACTCATGTGATCATATCACTTTTTTCTCTGTAGAACAGTGTGCATGTGGCTTTTTACACCACTGAACTCTCAAATGTGCATTCGCCTATGTAATGTAATGAGCGGTTTATGCACTGCAGCCCTTCTATAATGTCCCTCTCTGTGTAGTTGTGGGTGGACTGTTCTTGCTGACAGAGTCTGATCACATCCTGCATTGACAATCTAGTTGTTTTCCCTTACATATCCCACTAATGCACAACATCACAGTCATTGAATGTGACCACAGTTTCCAACCTTGACGTCTTTACCATAGATCCAAATGTAGGTGCCGCTTTAGTCACTGTTCCTATCATTGGCGTAGGAACCGGGTGAGATGTTTTGGAAAGAGTTGCATTTGTCCCACCCAAAAATGAAACCACGAAGGAGAAAAAAAAAATTTTGAAAGCGAGACACTGAAGGTATTGCCATTTCATGCTATGCTGTGTTGGGTGGCGCTGGGCCGCCTTCTAACCTTTGTTCAGGGTTGTGTTGAGGTGCCTGTTCAAAAATGAAGAACTTTTGCCAAAAAAAAATCATGCTATGTTTGAATATCCTCCAATCACCGGCTTCACTTTGTTGGAGCACCATTAGTAGTAGTGAGGTTAGCTTTCACCAGCTTTGAACTTGTGGCCAGTAACAAGAGCACAACAAATAGCAGCTATGGCTAATTTTAGCTCTGAGAACGGCTTGTGTATAACGACTTGTCATAGTAACATTCTGTGAGGGTTTGGGTTAGTTAATGTTAATATTAACTATGCTTAACTTGTCACACTCTGAAACGTCAAGGTAACGTTAGTCTCTGGCTGCGTCTCAAACTGCATACAGCCACACTAAATAGTATCTAAAAAAACAGTTCACCACCATTAAAAGTGCTTTAAGTAGTGTAGTATGTAAAGTTCCAGAGTGTGTTTGGGATGCAGCTACGGCCTAATGTTAATGTTAGTCTTGTCTCAGTCTTGTAATGCTAGAACTTTCTCAGTGTTAACCTTAATTGCTTGGTCATCTCATTTCAGCATAATGCCGCCAAAAAAGACACATAAAGCCTCACAGAACACAATGTTACTGAGGTTTGCTTTAAGAGTAACCTTAAGACCTATTTGGGCAGGATTAGTTTTTCATATTTAGGTGGGGTAATGCCAGTTTATCTCAGGACATCTGTAATGTTAAAACATTTAATTTTGCCTTTTTTTGTTTATCCTAACCATTTACCTTTCGTAAGTGAATGCAGTTTGTCATTAGCGCTATTAGCTTGGGAATTCACAGCAAACAGTCAACTTCACTGCATAAAATGAAACTTTTTGTCAGTAATTTTTACATGTTCTGCGTTGTACAAATGAGACAGGACAGTAATGTTACATATTGGCCTGACAGCTTCTTGTTTGTATGCCTGTTCCACCTTAAATTGTGCAGCAGTTACATTGTGGCGCTAATAACTGCCACATTTTTTAAAGTACATTGTGAAAATTCAAACAAGAAGCTGACAAACAGGAAACTGACAGTGTCGCCCCTAAATACTCCCACTTGTGCCCTTAGTCCCTATTGAAACTCTACCCAGTTGAGCCGTTTTTGTGACTGAAGCTCCTGTCCTAATAATAAACACTCCTTCACCGTTACTTACATCTTTTCCCTCATGTCATCTTTATCTGAAATCAAGGTCAACTGGGCCTGCTCAGCATTTTCATGTATTGCCACTGTCTGAGGAAAAACAAGTATCTCCAAAATAGTAACTTTACAGGAGAAGACAAAACATTCTTTACTTTCAGTGTAAGTTAATGTAAAGAGATTTTATTCCAATTTAGCAGTATTTGTATTGGTCCAATCATCATGACATTTTCACACAATATAAAGGACATCTGCCGTCCTCAAATGATGCAGAAAAGTAAAAAATTGAAAAAATAGAGATACATGTTTTTCTTTGGACAGCGACGATATGCCACAGAGCACGGCAGGATGCTAATTGCTTATTTGCATTATGCAGTACACCTGTCTGGAAGCATCTCGTTATGTTCCTCCACTCGTTTATTCAGATTTTTCCTTTAATTTGTCACCATTAGTACTAGCACAGCTGCTGGGCAGTAGACAGCAGACTGTGGTCCTCAACAGCCTTTTAGTTTGAACTGTGATTCAGCACAATCTTCCCAATGTAATAATGATGAGCGCTGCTGTTGCAGCGAGAACATTCAAGGTGGCACCTCCTTTACAACATAATGACCATTCTGCTACGTAGCCTTGACTGGATATGTGAGGACTTTTGTGACCGTTTGCATCTACCGGAAAAGCTCTTTTGTCTTTGGACTTCAAGAAAAAGATCAGTTAAAAAAACTTTTGACTTTGCCAGCTGTCAACACATGGCCTTGATATCTCAGTGAAGTGTGTGATGTGTCCATCTCACCTGAATGCTGAGGCTCTCCGAGACTCTCCTGACGGACACTCGATGCAGTTGCCCGTTGGCCAGGTTCCTCACACTCGATCGGAACACCTCCGCGTCTCTGTTGTTCTGCAATTTGTACTTGACATCCAGTTGCCCTTTAAAAAGCACAGAACATCCCTGTTTCACATCAAAGGCAGACACTGGTGTCCGCGCGGTGGCAAAGTTGCGGTGAGTGTGCCGTAATTCAGATGTTTACACCAGGACGGCGACATCACCATGCAATAACAGTAACTCGTATTTATGGGACAACAAAGCTCTCTTTTAAGAGGATTAATATTTAATCCCCTATCAATATCACACACTAAAACAAATTAATTTTCATAATTTTGGAGAATTAGCAGCCCGTGTCCCTTTTATTAATGCACCGAAACAAGAAAGAATACTGTATAGCAAATCCAATAGTTAAAAGAAAAAAACATCCCGGAGCTGAGTTTTATATTCCTCAGCGATAATAATGTCTCAAATATTAGTCAACACTAAAGTAAAACCTCAAAACTAGGGCTTTAGCTCAGTCAATTGAATAATCCATCACCATCGGCTAAATTTCAGTCTGTTTGAGAAGGGGAGATCTGAGCGGCTTTGGAGAAGTTTTCTGAAAATGAGCCTTCCATAAAAATAGCCTAAAGCAAACTCTCTCACATCTGTTGAGTGGGTCAACACTCTAGAGGACCCACACCACTGGACACGTCTAATATGGGTAGGAGTTATCAGCTGTCAGGAAAGAACTCTAGGGCTCTACAAACTGTCAAATGAACCTCTGGAACTTTTCTTTAATTGGGCTAACGGACATTAGTACCATGCGCCGTCCATGGCTCTGTTGCCATGGTAATGTTAATTCATTGAGTCATCTACATTGACTTTGTTGAGACCAGTGAGCTTCTGATGTCTGCGTTACTGGAAGTGCAGCTAGTTGAACTCAGATTTGAATAAATCTGAGTTATTATTGCTCCACAGATCATCTAAAGCTCTGGATGTTTAATGATCAAGCTAACTAACCCAAAAGGTCCCTGCCTTAATAAAGGCTCGCTGCTTTAATGGCAACTTCTCCATCACTAAACTGATGGATCTGAGTTATCAGCTGGAAGTGCACCACCAGGGGCACAGAACGCAAACTATGGCTCTTCTCCCTCTCCCTTTCACAAGCATCGACAAAGCACAAAGTAATTTACTCGCCAAGAATTGAGGAGCGGGCCGTGGTTGACAAGCCCTGTGCCTTTAGAGACTCGGAGGCTTCTCGCTAATCCAAATGAATGTGCTTAAGCTGCAGTGAGTGAAATGAGGGGGGGGAGATTAGCGAGGTTTCAGACCATTTCTGTTCAGGAGGATGGCGAGGTACTCTCTGTAGTAGGAGCTGACGTAGAGAAGCAGTGATGGTGCCTGGCTGGTGCGGAAACTGAGCGAGATGTTCTCCCCTTTCAGCGTCAGATCCGAGTAGATGGAGGACGACTGTGCGCTGGCGTTCCTGTTCAGCTCGTACGGCTCCTTGAATGTGTAGGCAACCGAGGTGCCTGGTCTGAAGTGCGCAGAGACCTCTGGTGGGAAAAAGTAGGTCTAAGTTATGCAAGGGTAGGTTTTTGGTTATAAAAGACATCTTTTAAGGCAGAGGTTTCTAAGCTTCCCAACCCTAGTCCTGGAATACACCCGACCTTTGGGGGTCTCTGCGCTAATTTCTCTGCACCTAATCCGACTAACTAGCTAGCTATCAAGAACATCTTGAGTTGAAGTGGGTGTGTCAGAGCAGGGAAAACATTAAGTGCGCTCCATTTACCTGGGCTGGCTTGCTGCTTTTTACATAGTGGCAAGAGCAGGGAAACCCAAGTGTCTGCGGCACGCTAGTGGCTCTTAGGTAAACTGTTGTGTAGTCTAATATTCTAATTATTGTTGTATAATTACAACAAGCATGTCGCTAAAAACCGCTGTAGATGTGCTTACTGAGGATGAATTGTCACAACTCTGAACTGAGAATTTCAAGTTTACCTTTCTTTGGCTGGGTTTGACATGATTTACCATGTGTACCATTTATTATGACGTAACTACGCCAACTGAGCCGAACCTTTCTGGCAGCAAAAGCGACATATACCGGATCATCTTCCTCTTATTAGAGTGGAAACGCGCTCAATGGCACAACTGGCATATGTGCTGAGTGTATACTGGAGTGCACCCACAAAAATATACAGAGCAGAGGCACCAGTGTCCTGTTTTAATACTGTTTTTTAGCATGACCTCACCAGATTTGGCTTGCTACTTGGTAGTCCGTCACACCTATGTAAACAAGTGGCCACTCACAGTACAAGTGGAGGACTGGAAAGCAAGGAGCAGATTTTACAGCTCTGCTCAGCTAGCCTTAGTGAGCTAATCAGTTAAAGAAGTGACTTTTTATTTTTAACATAAACATAATTCTTGTGACTAATTGATCTGTCAGGTTATAAGCTTTGGTTTAAAACTGCGGGACACCCTACTAACTGGCTAACTAGCAAGCTGGCTAGCTAGCAGAGTAAAGTAATGAAGTTGTATCAGCAGTCATGTATAACAAATGGGGTAGTTTGCAACCTGAGTCTGGCTTTACACAGTGAAACTTTCAACTTCACTTGATTGAAACTTACATGAAACTAAACTGCGCTTCAGTTACACAGTGTAAAGCTCCCTGCAACTCACTTGAAATCCCAGTTGCAAGTGTCTCAAGTTTTATGGTAAATATTATGAAACCAATTAAATGTTGATAACGCGTCACAAGAGCATGTTGAATTCACCGGATGAAAGGACAAGGAAACAAAACAGAACATGGTGTACTAGACAGTTGAAAAGGAGATCCTCCTGATCGACTTTATGTAAAGTTGGTAGAAAGTGAGTTTCTAATGTTTCTGTAATGCTAATAGCTGTCTAAGTGGCTGATTCTACCAGTATTCATTCTTTAGCTATGCTGAACACAGTTATACATTTCTTTTCCTTCTGATGATCAAGACTCTGTAGACAGGATTACCAGCTGTGTGTCAGATATTTCTGAGTGGATGTCACAACGTTTTCTACAACTCAATCACATAAAAACTGAAATACTGATCTTTGGTACAAAAACTGATTTTTGCTTTATATACCAAACCTGCAGTACGAAACCTAGGTGTGATCTTAGACTCTGAGCTCTGTTTTATCCTGGATGTAAACGCAGTCACTAAAGTAGCTTTCAGTCATTTGAGAAACATTCCTGTCTCAGAGAGATGCAGGAATTTAAAAACGTATCTCTTTAACTTAGCGTTTAATTAAAACCCTACGTATTTTGGTATTTATCTTTTTATTTTGATGTCATTTGTATGTGATTTTAAATAATACTCATCTTTTCTGTTACTATTAAGCCATCTGTCTGTAAAGCACTTTGAGCTGCCACAGTGCTGCATAAATAAAATTATTGTTATTATTATTCTTTATTACCCTGCTGTTATGGTAGATTATTCATTTTCTCCTTTTTTGCTGCCCCCTAATTTTACATAGAGCAGAGATTCCTTTGGGATCCAAAAGATGAACCTTATTACAGAGGAGGAGACTGAGATGCACTCCTCAATAAACCCGCAGTGCTTACAGAAATAAGTCAGGTACAACCATAATAGTTACTTAATTACACTTTCAAAGGCTTAACATACACATAAACTAAAAAGTCAAATCTATTGTAAAGAACTCTAGATAGAGAGGAAAAAGGTAAGAGATGGCAGAGACAGTGACCCAGGAAGTGAAATGTTATGGTTCTGAAATCTCAAGCATTTTCATATAGTTCACAGCTGTGGCTGTGATTGCTTTCAGATGTGAAAAGGGAAGTGCATTAAGTTGCAATGATTTCTGGGAATGTTCACTTATGTTCACTTACTCCCTAACCCTTCAGAGGTGTCCTCTAATAAACTTTACTCGAGTCAATATGTAATGAAACGGCGCTTAAGATGGCGTTGGGGAAATGGCGAGGCGAAGTGGACGAGGGCTTGTCAAAACTGGTATTGAAACAGGCAGCCAGAGTAGTATTGAGAACCACTGGTTCAAGGGATGCATTCAAACATGCTAACATGGCTAAAATGAATGAAAGCAAAGTGAGGACTGTTTAGCATGCTAACGAGCCCCTGAATGACTTCTGTTCATTCAAGGGATGCATGCAAAAAAGCTAACATGGCTAAGAATGAATGAAAGCCATATGAGGACTGGTTAGCATGCTAATTAGCGCTTCAGTTGCTGTCTTTTTTTCATACCCAGTCTAGTATTCTTGGGTGAGGTGCTATTTTAAATAGGCCCCCAGTGTACAGAGTAGTGACACCACTTGGAGAGGTACACTGCCGGTGTTAATAGAATTTCCACTACCTCGTAATGTGTTAGCGCAAGGTGTGTCAACCTGAGATCGGGCCAGAGTCCCTGCAGAGACTTCCTTCTTCTGACACTGTAAATTCAACTTACAAAGGTTTTGCTAATTAGCTGATGAGTTGACTCAGGCGTGTTAAATGAGGTAGAATGCTAAACTCAGTGCTGTTGCCCTCTAGGACCTGTGCTCACGATTCTCTACTCACCTTTGTGGCAGAAGGTCCCAGAGTACGGCGAGGAGCCACAGTCGCACGCAAAGCCGTTATACTTCTCCACGCAGCGGCCCTGGTTCTGGCACAGTCCACCGTAACTACTGCAGTGCCCCGGGCAGCCCGGCTGCACCCCGGGGGTGATCTTCGCCCTCTCCTCCAGATCCAGAGTCTTCCCGTTCAGCTTTAGTGAGCGGATGCACCCCTGGAAGCCCTTCTGCCTCGAGGCGGTTCCTCCTGAAAAGCGCGCAGAAAACACATGTACCTTTATTCTTTCTTCCCCACCCCCACCGTCTTTAGTGCCCTCCTTTTTTCCCTACCGGCAACATGACGGGTGCTGCCACGGAGCAACTCCGCCGCCACCCTCTGTTCTCCGAGAGCACGCGGCTGTCAACTCTATTGCAAGGATGGCAAAAGCCATTTCATATGACAAGATGATGAAAACAATGTTGTGGGTGGAAAAACGAAGCAGAAGGCAAAGCCGGCTTTTGTCAAACCGCCCGTCTCCTGTCTTTCCTCGGCGTGCCAAGCGCTCCTCAGAAAGTTCAGGCCTGGCAGACGAGGATTGTTCTCAGAAAACGGGCGAGCCTTTTCGAAACAAACGATCAGCAAGCTTTTTTCTTTTGTAGCACGGTGCCGAAGCTTCTGTCATTCTCCTAGCAGCCCATTCAGCACCTCAGTGTCCTTTGTGTGGTAATTGCTGCAGGGAAAACATTGACTCACGAATGCTGCACTTGCAGCACTACAGATGTTGAGTAATTCAAGGTACAAGGCACTAGGTAAGAAAGATGCAACTTAGGTGAGTCTGTACCATCTTCGTAGCCTTTCCATGCTAAAGGCTCAATGGATAAATTCTAGCAGGAAAACAGTGTGCCAGTTGACGTGAATGGAAGCTCTCGCTCACCCAGGTCTTTCCAATCAATTACAAACAAGATGGTGAAGAGAGTCTGAAATCTATCATTTTCTAAACTTCAGATCTGATTGCCGGAAGGATCTGTGAGAGCTGCTGAGAGAAGCGTCCTGCTTATTCTGGGTTAATCAAGTCCAGTGGTGGTCAATCACAACTCCTGGCAAAAGGGCTGACTTCCTTCGCCAGCACAATCTATATTCATTATGTTTGTCTTTAGTAGATGGATCGGCTCTTTGTCTGTTTTCTCACTAAAGCTGATTTGAACTGGAGGAGAGCGGTACACACATCCTTAATATTTGCCTTTAGATTACGTGTCATCTTCCAGGCTTGTTTTCTTGGGCTTTGATTTTGCTTATGTACTACCCTTGAGGGAGTGATCTGTCCGGGAGTTAGAAGCAGTTGGAGAGACTGCTCAAGATTTTCTACAATTGTCTAAATGAGGTGTCAAGGGAAAGTGATGGTGTTATCAGTAATTGTCAAAGGAATCACTGTTGCTGAAATTCAGTTTGGTATTACCATATTATGATGGTACATATGTAACATTGAGAACACCCCTTGGTAGGACTATCCCCAAAAATATTGAACAGACTGACTTTTCATGGCATTTGTGCCCCATATATGCAAACGTAACCATCCTCTGAACGCACAGTTGCCAACTTTCACCCAGTCCCACCATAAAGAGCAAGAAAAAATTGCCTTTGTTTTATCTTTTATCTTGTTTATATGTTTCTGGCAGCAGTGTGTCTAAATAGTGACTTATTTTCTAGAAAGTAATGACTTATTTTCTTGACATTTTGACTTTGAGTATCTCTATGTTTTTGACAGAATTCCAATATATGACATATGATACTGACGTTTCATTCTTTTGTCTAAAAAATTGAGATAATAAATCAATGTTTAGAGAAAATAATCATTTTGACAATAGTAAGTCAAAATGTTGGGAGAATAATCATTATTTTGCTAAATAAGTCAATATTTCAAGAATCTAAGTCGGTATTTTAAAACGGTGAGTTAATGTTTTGAGAAAATAAGTCATTTTAAGAGACTAAGTCACTCCTCTGACAGGAATGGGCTTCCATACTAACTTTTATTGTACTTGTAACATAATATTAATAAAACAAGGACAAAATACACAATTAAATGGATGGAAAATCTCACACTAATTATAATAATTCAGAAACAGCTTTGGCCAAAACCACAATATGAATCTGACGATATGAATCACACAATAAGGCATTAGTATCAAATACACTGCCAAGTCACCACTGCCAGTTTGACTGTGTATTAATACTGTGCATGAGTGTTTACAAAATAAGTTTGAGAGCAGTCACTCCTACCTACAAACAGCTGGCTGTTGAGCTGCAGGTGAATGTGACCATCAGCAGGGGCCTTCTGGACCACTCCAGGAAAGTGGTCTACGTGGAGCGAGGCTTCTTTCACATTACGCTCGGCCATCACGCGGTGCCAGCGCTCGTCATTCAGAGGCTCTGGCGTCTCCACACGCACTTCAAAGGGCCCGTTTCCCACATCAAATGAAAAGACCACTTCAGTTGGTGCTGGAACACAAGAAAAAGCGTTTGTTTGCAGGAACAAGGCCTATTGATACCCTTGTGTCCCCTTGTATGTGTTATAAATTAGGGCCATCCCTGATTACAGATTTTCCTGGTTTACCAAAAAAGCTGATTTTAAATAAAAAAAATCCAGTAATCACCTTTTATGGAGAATGATTAGCCACTTGTTCTAATCTTCCTTTGCAGAAACATCTACAGCTTTAACTATGATTCATTAGTAAAAAATAAACCAGTGCAGTGCTCTCTGATAAACCCCTGGTAAACATGAGCAAAATGTGCTGTAAAAACATTCTTTAATGCTCCTCCTTTTGATCTTTCATTTAAAATGTGAACAAAATCTAACATTTATTTGAAGTCAGTGATTGAAAGAAAAACCCTAAACCTTATCATGAAAGAAATATTTTTCTCAAATGTACAAATTTGTACAAAGAATTCTATCAAGTATATTCCCATTCACATTTTATGTTTTTAAGTTCACATGAGCGATCAGGAACACTTAAATGGTCACACAGGACGTCCTGGGTCACTGCGAGACGCAATTCCCTCAGTCATCCATCACTATGAGAAAAGCCAGAGAAAACAACAATGATGTGCAACAAAAGGTTGTTAAGCTGCACAAATCAGGAAATGGCTACAAGAAACCAGCTAAACAGTTGCAAAAAAAGGAATTTAACACAACTGGAGATGTTAAGAATCTGCCGGGAAGAGGATGCATCTCCCATGACCTCACGCACAGTAAGGAGGATGGTTCAAGTGGCCAGAGAATCTCTGAAGAGCACAGCTGAGGAGCAGCAGACTTTAGTCTTGGGGTCACATTTCAAACCACAATCAGATTCCACCTACATAAGCAAAAGTTGTTTGGGGGGGTTACTAGAAGAAAGTCTCTGCTGTCAAGGACCAACAAACTCAAGCTTCTACAGTTTGCCAGACTTGGAATGTCTGGAATGTTCAGTGGGACAGTCTTCTATGGTCAGATGATGCCAAAATAGAGCTTTTTGGCAACAAACACCAGAAATGGGTTTGGCATAGAAACAAAGACAGCCATGCAGAAAAGTACCTCATCCTTACTGTGAAGTATGGGGGTGGATCTGTATGGTGGTGGGGGGACTGCTTTACTTCCAAAGACCCTCGACAACTTGTTCAGATAAATAGTATCATGACTCCATCACATACCAGCAGATATTAAACCAAAACCTGACTGCCTCAGCCAGGAAACTAATCCAACATGGCCGGATCTTCCAGCAGGACAGTGATTCAAAGCACACCTTAAAATCAACATAAATGGTTCACTGACCACAGAATCAAGGTTTTTCAATGGCCATCCCTTTCCCCTGACCTAAGCCTCATAGAAAACCTGTAGGATCAGCTGAGAGTCCACAAACATGGACCTCTGTCCATGGAATCTGAAGGATTTGGAGAGGTTCTAAATGGAGGAATGGTCTCAGATCTCTTGTCATGTGTTCTCCAGTCTCAGTAAGCATTACAGGAGAAGACTCAGAGCTGTTATCTCTGGGAGGCTGCACAAAGTATTAAATAAAAGGGGGGCCAACAATTATGGCTCACATAGCTTTGAGGAAAATATGTATTTCATGCAGGGATTTCAAGATTTAGTTCTTGAAATAAAGCTTAGATTTTTGTTAATATTTTGAATGAAAGATCAAAAGGGGTGTCCATTTGTCAAAAAAAGGACATTTTTATATCTGCAAGAATCTGTTCCATGTATTGATATTTGTTTCATAGCTTTTGTAATGGTAGAAATTAATTTTTAAGCAGGAACATGAATTTTACCACCCAGGAAATGTCAGGTGGCGCTACCACCCATTAATAAATATTATAAGTTATATAATAAGTTATATATATAAGTTATTAAACCATTACAGTAAATGATGAACCTTTACTGTATAAACTAGTCTTTGTACTTGGACATCTATATAAACCTTTGTCCTTTTACTCAAGTTTATACATACAAATTTTTTTTATTAAAAAAACAATATTATAGTAACCCGGGTTTCATGGTTTTCTTGGAGTCACATCACCAAACTTGGCAAACTGACTCAAAAATGTCAAAGTTTTCAGTATTTGTGAAAAGGCTACTGATCTTGGCATTGCACCATGAATTTCACTTGGGATCTTCATTTTGATGCAATACTCTGCCCATTCTTTCTTAAAATAATGTCAGAATAAAAGTCCTTTGTTGTCAGCTGTGCTGCATGACATTTAATCAGTAATCAGTATTTACAGACAAGTTGAAAACTTTTAAAGCTGCCGTATTTTGCAACATGGTGGTTTTTAAACATAAAATGTTAAACTATTTCATTTATAATTTTAGACGATTAATTTTAACAATTTACGTATTCTGCATATATGGCTGGACGGATGTGCCACCTGACATTTTTAGAGATTTAAATGAAGATTTAGATGCAAAGCACTTAACGGACCTGGCTTGTAACTCACTCACTCACACTGAAGCAGGCTGAAGATTCTCCAGAAGGGGGAGCTATAAGCACTGAGGTATTAGCACTTTGCATTAGTGACACTGTATGTTCTTATATTTTCATGCACTGCAAATGTATTTACATAAAGAAGGTACTGTAGCATAATATTATATACATGTATTCATGTATTTATTATAATCAATAGACTGTTTGAACATTATTTTAAATATACATAAATCATGTTAACAGAATTCCACGGCTTTTCTGCACTGAATGAAAACATCTGTAGGGGAGGGTTTATTTTAAATTTTCAGCAGTGTGGGCAGGTTGCAGTAATGAGACATGATTATCAAAGGAATGAGAAATCCAGTTCAGAGAGAACCGACTCATTTTTATTTTATTATTTTATTTCCTGAGTGGAGGGAAATCGCGTAACGCTAGGGAGGGTAAATTTAGTGGCGGGTTCATGAGCAGAGAGCGGTTTGTCTTTAATCTCGGCAAGTGTTTTTTAATCTGCCTCTAGATGACAACACCCTGATGCTGGAAGTTTACAGTAGGAGATGAAAGAAGCCTGACGCTTTTCTTTCTAGCCAGCAGACGTTTCCTCAAACAGAATTAAATCCAACTGGGCGCTTACAGCGGAATACCTTTGGCATCATTGCGAAAATAATAAGTCACTTCAGGTCCTGAGATAAACTTCAACACTTATGTCAACAACTCCAGTGACATATCAAGTCCAAAATGCTCTGGGACTGACTTGGTCATTGCTCTATTCTTTGCACACATCAACCTGTGGGAGCTTGTAGAGAAATATCAAAAAGTTATGATGAATGATCAGACTTGCAGTAGGAAATCACAAATCTGTTCTGTCCTCATTGTAAAAAAAAAAATGGTATTTAATAAGGAACTTAGTTCCAGGAATTAATTCATAATATACACTAATGGGTCACTTTATTAAAAAGTCCTCCTTTGCTGGTGTACAGTTTGAGATTGTAGCCCATCTGTTGATGCACAATTGTCTTAGCAATCCTCTAACCATTCATAACTGGTCATTTTCTGACCACAGAGCTGCTGATTTTTTTTGAGTGGTGGACCACTTTGAACCTCACCCTCAAGTGACCCTGACATGTAAAAACCCCAGCAACTGCTGTGTTATGGTCCGCAACCCACATACATGGTAAACAATGGTCTTGTAATCAGAAACTGAGCAATGAATATAAGAGACTGCAAACTGTGAATGTCGACAGCAAAACAGTAAGTGGAAGTACAAGTTAGTTGTTTCTAAGAAAGTGGCCAATGAGTGGACATACAAGGGGTGTGTATATATATATAGCGTCAATTCTTTTCAGGAGACTTGCTTTCAGTTTTTCAGAGAAATCTGCAGGAATATTTTTCCTCACCTCCAGAATTCAGTCTTAGAAGTCGGTTGCATTTTCTGCTTCTCCATGTAATCCCAGACACATTCAGTGATGCTAAGGCCTGGACTCTGGGGTGGTCATTCCATTGTTTTGAGAGCAGCGTCTTTGTTTGATTTGTTCCTTTTTGATTTTGTTTCCTTTTATCAGGACTTTGTCAGATCTGAAGCAAGATTGCAGCTTAATGTCCTCAAAGACGAAAGCTTTGGTGTTTATCTGATGGGGACAGTTTTGGTGGTCTATGATGTCTTTTATCTTACAATTTTTTGAACTTCCACTTATTTTCCTTTATCTTTTTGCTTCCTTATGCAAGCGATGATCTTAAAATTGAATAACATTTTCTAATAAAATGGCAAGTGAGTCATGAGTCCACAGTAGATGCTCATATTCAATAATTCATAATACCCCTCAACACATTTCTCAAACATCTATTCTGCTCATTCTGTGCACACATTGAAAAACCGTCCCCAGTTCAAGCTCAGCCTTCCAGCCCATCTGAAAGAAGCGCTCGGATTTTAATGCGCTTTAACGAAGAGAAGGGCCACCTTCTGTCATCCGGCAGCTCTCTGATGGCAAGAACAGCTCGGCGAAAATGCTGATTGTGTGTTATGACCTCTTTATTATTCATAGCACATAGCGTTCCTAACTGGAGCTGGCACTCCGGACCTGATATGGCACTGCAGTGTCTCTAGCAGAACAAGAAATACGCTGATCCTCAAAGGTTTAGAGACACAAATCGTCAAAATATGGACTAACTATGCATGTTTTCTTTGTCAGTTTGCAATAACGTAACACATTATATGGAAAGCTGTTTAGATTTTGCCATTTTCCTTTGCAAAATGAGCAGAATTGAAGGAACAAAAGCACCTTAGTGATGACAACAAAGCCCATGCATTCTGTCCCCTTGTTGTGATGTCAGCACTTATCAGCACTCAAACCTTCAGGTGTTTAAACCTTTGGGCCAAAAGAGTTTTAAAACACAACAGTCAGATCATTAGTATCTGCTCTTCATACCAAGGAAGCTTCTTTAATGAAGTTGAGTATACATAAATTATGTGCCCGCTTGTCTGTGCCACAGTGTATTCATGTAAGTGACCTCTGCCGGATTTGTGTGGTGCAAATCTGTCTCGTCATGCGGCAAAAAACATTGATGTACACTGATGTTAGAGATGCATCGATACCGATCCTGGTATCAGGTATTGGCCCAATACCGTGCTCATTTTCTCGTACTCGTAAAAAGATCATCAATACCCACATGTAATATCTGACACCATGTGATGTAAGACTAATGTACACTACAGCTCTAATGAACGACTCAGACTGGCAGTGAATGAGGATCTGCTCACACAGCAAAGTGTTTCTGGTGAACGCCAAGTTGGTCAAACATTTCGCCTTGGCATATTCCTGCCAGGCTTACACCGTGAGATTCCATCCCATTTTTAAACACACAAACACAATCATAACCACTTCCCCAGTATGGGTGGAGACAAGTAGGGTAGCAAAAAAGTCACATTGGTGGTCCTGAAGAACTGTGAGGTATAAATGTTGATACACTGATTTAGTGCACAGTGTGGCACAAGTTAGCAAAGCTGCTGTAGTACAGTTTCTCAGCGTGTTTGCTCCATGCTATGTGTGCAGTTTTACTGATAGTTGCCTGTAGGGGCTTCATTTTACATAACGTCAATCAGTACAATGTGAGTATAATAATTGGAGTCTTTGTCTGTACATGATGTTCTTTTTAAACATACAGTGTGAGTAACCAGAGAATAATATCTCTAAAGTAGCAGAATAATATGCCTGACTTTAGCAGACATTCAACTACAGCTCAACCAACCAATCAGAAGACTCCAAAAAGATGTGAGTTCAGATGCAGATCAAAACTATGAAATGTACTTTATTTAAAGCTGTACAGAAATGCTTTTCTAACTAGGAACAAAACCTGCTCTTCTCCTCTGCAATGCCATTAAATTCAAGGTAACTAATATTAGCATAGCTAGCTAATGTGCATCATTTAAAATCAGTTAGATTGTAATGATTTATTTGTTAAGCTACATTGCACTCATTTACCTTAACAACTATTAAATTCTAAGTAGGTTACTTAGTATGATATTGGAATCGGTATTAGTAAGTACTCAAAAACGTAAAAATAAAAAAAATGATGTATTCTTAATTGGTGTATTATAATTGTGTATTATTATCACTGCTTCCCCCCCTGATAAGCTGATATAGGCTATCAAAATATCCTCACTATTCTTTTAATTGCTGGCAACAGGACATAGAGGCACACTCCGAAGGGAGTGTTATAAGAAAAAAAGAAAAAAACGTCAAATCTGAGTATTTTCTCTGTTAAGAAACTACATTAACCATTGTGTTGTCTTAGTTTAATGTCGTTTCAACGTATTATGGTGCTTTTCTTCATAACAAGCATAAAAAATCCCTAGTAATTTTCTGATGTCTTGGTAGCTAGCTAGCTAAATTTCCAGTTCCACCTTAAATGGTGCAGCAGTTACATTCTGGCACCTCAGGCATCAGAACTACTGCATATTTAAGGTGGAACGGGAAAATTCGAACAAGAAGCTGGCAAATACCTGACTTCAGCTTCATATCAATGAAGAATTAGGGGTGGGCGATAATAAATAATTGCCCCCCTCTTTGAAGATCATATGATGCCCTAAATGTAACTAAAGCCCAGCAGTGAGGAGCTGAACTTTACCCTCCTCTGCTATCACAGACTGGCAGGGTCGCCTACAGAGCAGCGCTAGTAGCTGTTAATGAAATAATGCTCTTCTTGTTTATTTGAGGGTCCCATTTCGTAGAGGAGGATTTCAACCACTCACCCCTTGTAACTCAGTTCTAAGGGTCAAGGTGACATTCAAAAAACAAGGGGTTGGGGTAAAAATAAGAAATGAGATTGGGCCTTAGACTATCAAACTATCCTTCCTGTAGTTTTAATATGAAGCTAAAGTTGACTTCTCATTCGCCAGCTTCTTGCTCGTTCTTTTCCCGTACCACCTTAAATGATGCAGCAATAACAGCAGAAGCCTCAAACGTTAAAACATAACTGCTCCATTTAAGGTGGAAGCAGAAGCTGCTCCATTTAAGGTGGAACCATATTTCAGTGTAGCTTCTGATTTATAGTAATTACTGAATAATCTGATGAACGACTGAATGAAGCATATAGTTTAAGGGAAACTTTGCAGTTATGTTTTCCCTTTCAAATAAAAAACTACGTTACTCTGAAAACGTCGAGGCAAGTGTCAAAATTTTTGACAGGCAGTGGACATGCTGCTTTTTAATGATATCTGTTTTAAATGATGTCTGTCTTTGTGACATCTTTACTGTGTATAGCCGAACATTTACAGAACGGCGGAGTGCTAAAGGTGATTTTATCGTGCAGCACGACCGCGTGTGCTACATTATCGGCTTTCACCTTTTGAAAGCAGACCTTTTTCAGGGTTAGCGTCTTACATGGCCCCTCTCCCCAGACTGCTGCCTCAGTCAGAACATAATGAGAGGTTAATTGAGCTCTCTCGGCTAAAGGATTCGTCATTATAGGAGAACAAGCGTCCAGGCCCCGTTAAAGTCCCCCCTGCTCCGTGCTCATCCATCACGTGAACCTGTTATGTGCGAGGAATTTAATAGTTCTTTTCTATGCACTCTAATGCTACAGAAATCCCAGCAGTCGTGGATTTTCATCGGGGGGTCATGCAGAGCGTGGCGGAGAAGGTGCCAAGAGACTTAGATAGAACAACAAAAGAGTTGTAGATGATTATTTACACTCAAGTGGGTCTCATAACAAAACAGAAGAGACCCTCCTGCCCACAATACGTATCAGCAGCCGGCTATACCGCAATTTCCCTCGAGAGGTGGTGGTCTGTATATTCAGGTGGTGGCTTCTTGAGACTATTTCTCCTTTCCGTACACGAGCCACATGCATTTTGTAAATAGGGCAGCCAAATAAGAAAAACAAACATATGGAAGAGAGCAGACAGACATCGGGCGCACAAACACAGCGCAGTTTTCTTGCCAGTGTCCTACTTTTGCTCAATACAACTTCATACAAAGTGCAGTTTGGTTTTTCTCACAGGAGCTCAGCTTCATGTGATGCAACTAAAAGAGCCCACTCTCCTCCTTTTTCTGTACAGTTGTACTGGTTGAAAATCACATACTCTTAAAAATAAAGATTCCTAAATGGTTCTTGGCTTGGACGCTTGATTCTATGAAAAACCTTTAATTTAACCTTTTAATTAAAAACATTTAGATCGGCATGTTCTTCATTCCTGCACATCTCATTTACAAACCTGTTATCAGTGTTGTTTTTACTGACCGCTAGTCAACAACAGTAGTTGCTTTACTTTACACTGCTGGCACTACTTCTTTGCTTCTTGTACAAAAGCAATACAAGGTCACATTTTATCACCAATAATATCATGGCTGTGATGACCTACTGTGACCAAATCACAGTCTTGATGTTATTCCCAATACCTCACTTGCTCTTGTGTTCTGTTGCTTAAAAATTCACTCACAGCTCAGTTCGATCCGAATGAAATCTTTGATTCCCAGGTTTTCCAGGAAGACGCCGGAGGACGAGCTGGTCTTGAACAGAAAGGAGATGTCAGCGCTCAGCTCACCGTGGAATGTGGGGAAGTGGAGGTAGGAGGTTTCTTTATTGAAGTAGGCCGCATTCCAGAAGTCATCTGAAGGGAGAAGGCATTTATTCAGTGACTGTACAAATTAGTAGGGGGTCCAAACCTTCAGTCATCATTTGCACTAGGACACTGGTCATGACCTACACTGACCAGCCACTTAAACTGAAACTCCTCCTGGCCAGTAAGTGGAAGTACAAGGCAGGTGTTTCTAATAAAGTGACAACTGATGGGAAAGACAAAGTAAGTGTTTCTAATAAAAAATGTCCAGTGAGTGGAAGGATAAAGTAGGTGTTTCTAATAAAGTGGCCAGTAAGTGGAAGTACAAGGCAGGTGTTTCTAATAAAGTGACGAGTGAATGGAGGGACAAGGTAGGTGTTTCTAACAAAGTGGCCAAAGAGTGGAAGGACAAAGTAGGTGTTTCTAATAAAGTGACCAGTGAGTAGAAGTACCAGGCAGGTGTTTCTAATAAAGTGGCCAGTGAGTAGAAGTACCAGGCAGGTTCTAATAAAGTGGCCAGTGAGTGGAAGAACAACATAGGTGTTTCTAATAAAATGGCCAGTGAGTAGAAGTACAAGATGGGTGTTTCTAATAAAGTGGCCAGTGAGTGGAAGGACAACATAGGTGTTTCTAATAAAATGGCCAGTGAGTAGAAGTACAAGGTAGGCTTTTCCAATAAAGTGGCCAGTGAGTGGACGTACAAGGTAGGCTTTTACAATAAAGTGGCCAGTGAGTGGACGTACAAGGTAGATGTTTCCAAAAAAGTGGCCAGTTAGTGGAAGTACAAGGCAGGTGTTTCTAATAAAGAGGACAGTGAGTGTATATTTAAAGCCATCAGAGTTCATAGTGGATGCACATCTTTAATAATTCAATAACGCAGGATGTTCACATAGATCTTCAGAGTCAATAGTACATGCTCGTCAGTGAGCAGAAGTACAAGATAGATGTTTCTAATAAAATGGATGGGGAGAGTAGAACTCTGTACAGTTTTTGTTGCTCTGAACAGCATGACTGATGACATGAGTCTCTGGGTAAGGCCATGTCTGACAGACTTAGTACTTACTGTCACCATAGCACTGTAGGGGACCCACTCTATATGCCGCTTCTGAGCCTGGCCTGTTGATGTCACCCACAGCTAAAAGTCTGATGGGCAAATGCTCCTTATGAGAGATGACGCCTGAGTCATTGGCCCTGTCCGATATAAAAGCAGAACACAAACAATTAATGCAAGTGACAGCATCATAACAAAGCTGAGAAATACTGACATGCCAGAGCAAAAATACAGCGTGTTTTAAAAGGCAACGTGACATTTTAATAATTTGGTCAGTGCCCTGAAGTGATATCATCTTAACTGCTTTGTAAGCTTCTAACAAAGTAGAAAACCAGTTCTGATAGAGTATTTAAAACCCCAAATAGGAACATCCCAAACAGCACTTCATCCACCTCAGTGCAGAGTTAAAGGAATGGCTTATCAAGAAATCTAAGTGACATAATTTTCACTAGTCAATCGGCCAACACGTGTTTGGTGTCCAAAATTTCTTTCTTTGATTTTGTTTAATGGAGCTATGGGGCTAATATATTAGACGTATAGTTTTGAGTGAGACTTCCATTACTTGTAGCTACATTAGCCCTGTAACTCCAATAGAAAACTAAAGAACAAACATGCTTTGGCTGATCAGCTGTGTGTGGGGTAAGAGGGGGGGAACTGTGTGCATTAAATGAAAGGAAAATCCTTCCTTTAAGTAACACAGAACAATGTAGGCCTGGGCGGTAAATCAAAATTGAACTTTCTTGATATTGATAACACGTTTTAGGTATTTTTGATAAAACAGTTATACCATTCTGTTCATCAGTCTTTGGCGGGAAAGGCTGGTGGCCATAGGTGCATCTTTAACGTGCTAGACGGGGAGGGAGAAGAAGTCTAGCCATTCACTCTTAACAGCGGAAACCAGCGACTGGGGCTGTTCGATTACAGAAGTTCTAGAGTCGACTCTGAATCTGCTTGCAAGTGATGGGAATCAATTATAAGTCGATTCCACACAATTTTCTCAATTCCAAAAATCCATATTATATAGTTGTGTGTATATATATCTATATAGTGTGTGTGTGTGTGTGTACACACACACATATAGTCGTATTAGCATTCAAAACATTCTTTGTTGATTTAGTGAAATTAATGTATTCTCTGCAAAGAACACAGTTCAGCACATTTTAATGCACAATTACTGTTTATTTGCTTATTATTTGTAACATATTGAGGGAAAATATAACAAAACATAAAATGTGGCTAAAGCAGTGAAATGTGACTGCAGGTTTAGTACCAGCTGTCAAGGTCTCCATCGCAGTTGCAGAAATGCTCTGGGTCCACGCAGTCCTCCTGCAGGCCGCAGGCACACTGCTGGCTGCCCGGCCTGGCCCCTCCCCAGTAAGTGTGGGCTTCCCCTGACCGGCCCACCCACCAGGTGAACGGAGCTCCCTCTGCAAGATCCATAATGCATCAAAGCTAGTTACTTTAATAAGACTCCTAAGAGCCCTGCTGGCATGCAGGAGCCCCCAGCTGCTCTTTCAGTTAACCCCTAGATGTCCGGAATTATTACAGGCGTTTTGATATAGATTGCTGCACATTAAATAATTCATATGTAATTACATTACTACATGGGTAATTAATCACTTGTATATTTGATTTACGTGCATATATTCTTTAAATTATCCATTGGTTTACTTACATATGATGAAAAAGAAGCCAAACTGATGTAAGGTATCTAGATGTAAATGTACTTTTGCTAAGTTTATCTTTTAGCTTGTTGTCCAGTCCTCTCCACAATAATGGCCTATTCTCACTAAGTACATTGTTTTTGGACAACAAACATGGATATGATTTTTAATGTAGTGGGTGATTTCACTTCACATTTTTTTTATCAAAACACTCTGCAAACACTTGAAGACAGAAGAGAAAGAAGAATGGATTTTCCTTGAGTAGCAGTATCAATTAACACTTTTTTAAGCACTTCAGCTAAACACTGCACACTCTGGGTTCACCCCATTCTACAATGGAGACAACAACATGGAGAGTTCCACTGCCTCATTCAAGAGCTGAAGCTGAATAACGAGCGACTGGTGGTATTTTTATATGTAAGCGGGAGAATTCAAAGCTCAAAGATCATCCTTTTTTTTTCAACATAAACTACATAAAAACATACGAGCATTCATTAGCAAATGAAGCTAATAGTTTGTGGTTCTTCAGCATGACAGCTATAAAAAACGGTTGCATACCGTTGCTGTAACGTATGCATGTTTTATAGTCAGTGTGTTGCCTGTTGTGTTTTTAAGTTTTTGTGCTCTGCTACAAGCAAGGTGAGCTGTTCAGCCACCATCTTAATGCACATTTGTTTGGGCTGCAACTCCAAACAAAGCAGAAAATTATGTATAATAATATCTGTGTTCATTTTTTCAAAACTTGTTCATTTTTTCTGTCCATAAAAATCTGATTCTGTGAGTAGGCCTACATGATAATTTGAAGACTATTGTTATAAGACATTCTGCTTCCTGGCAGTAACATTAGCTATTTGCCTTCCTTTTGCATTCGCCCCACTTTTAAGTTGCATCATCATTTTCCAGTCTCTACTCCTAAAAATCTGACTTTAGAGACTACTGTGGCTCTGTTTCAGGAGAGTAGGCATGTTTATAATAGATGGTAGCAATGTTTACATTTATCATGTTGGCCAGAATGTTTCTTTAAATATTTGCAAAACAGCACATCACTGTAAACACCAACCCTCGGATCACTGTGTCGTGAGCCATTTGTGGACATGACTGACAATTAGAAATGGGCAAATGCATATACAAGCTATAAAACGACTTGTTTGGACAAACAGCCTTGGCTTGAAGCCTTCAAGCTGAGCAGATGTTTTCCTTTTCTAAAAACACTTGGAGAGAGATTGGCATTGATTTGTCTGCCCCATCACTCGTCTGCTCACATCCATCCATCTAAACCTGCCCGTCTAGGTTTTACGCGACCTGCTCGCTCCTTCTCTTTTCTCTTCATTTGGCATTTGGGAACATTATTTATTTATGTCTGACACTGTTTTTTTTTCTCAGCTCATCAGCATCCTCAGTAATGAGACAAGTAATGGACGTCGTGCTCGGGTGTCTCCTGTTTATTCAGGGGGCCACGAGAACTGTTATCAAGTGGCTCCGACCTTTAATAGGCCGCATACGTAACCGCCCATGACTAAAACCCACACAAAACAAACAAACGATAAACAGCACTTTAGCAGTACAGTGAAATGAATAATCCACCCTAAAGGTGACTTTTCCCCAGCTTAACGCACTGTGACATGAAGTAATAATAATAATAATAAAAGAAACGAGTCAGGAGAGACCGAAAAGGGAGAAAGCCAAAAAATCTGCCAAATTAATTTGTGAAAAGAAGAAGCATAACAATCAGTTTCCGCTGTCTGTTCTAAGCTCCATGAGAGCAGTGGATTCATGTGTAGATGGTGCGGGTTTTTTAATAAGCCTGACCTTTTATAGGGAGAAGAAGCGGGATCGATACTCTCAATAAAAAGGGCTTACCTGGTGTGTTTAAGAGGCGTGACTTTTTGCAGTGGTAGGAGAGTTCCTGCTCGCAGTGCTCAGCCTGGCTAATTACAGCCCCGAGCTGCTTGGTGTCGGCGGAATAGTTAAAGTAGGCTAAATGCTGATTCGTCCCCAAGGATGCTCTTAATTTGGTGAGCTCTGTGTTATTGTGTTGGATCACCATCCACGCTTTATCTGTGGGGAGAGTTTTGCGGGAGAGACAGAGGGGAATCATTACACATAATTATGCAAATGATAACGAGGCTGGAACGACACAGGGGAGAAAGAAGATGAGACGTTTCCGATAAAAGCGCTGCCCGGGATGCTCCGGGGGCCGGGACACAGCAAAGCGACCTTTATTTTTGACGAACCACGGACAACGACATCATTTCCTGAATTGCACCACTCCACCGTCTGCTATGTAGAGGATAGAGGCATTGTTAGCATGCTGTTGTCTGTTCTGAACTCACCTCTTGAGTTTTTCTCAAGCTTTTTTTCTTTTGTTTGGCAAATTTTACCCTCAGTGATGCCGATCAGCTAAAAACATGTTTGCTTCTTTATTTTTGTACTGGATCTATGGCTACGTTTACACAGCAGGTAAAAGTGGCCCAAATCCGATCTTTTTCCTCAAATGTGACACAGATGTGTGTCTGTTTGGCAGTGTGAACAGAAAACAAAAAACGCTGAATCTGACATTTTCAATTCCAATTTGAGACGCTTTCATATGTGGTACTGAAATCTGATACGTATCCGATCTGCGGCAATGTGACTCAGTCTGAACAGCCAGATCGGAATTCATGCGACTTTTACGTAAATCCAACTGGACATTCGTCATAATTTCGCGCTGAGACTCCTTTTTTCGGCAAACTTTTTTACACGCCCTTTTTTCGAAAGCTGAAAGCTCCGGGAGCGACTGGCGTTCACTGGCCATCATGATTGTTTACCCTTGGATGAGCCGCCACGTGAAGCATTGTTCTTTTGCGCATGCGGGTCGGTTTAGGAGCTGATCTGTTCAGACTGATGTCGCATAGAGGTCACATTTAAAAGATAATGTGAACAGCCAAACAAAAAAATCGGATTTGGTGAGAAAATCAGATTTGTTTATGTGGTTTCTGTCCATTATCTGCAATGATTGGCCATTTCATTAAGTTCACCTCCTTGTTTCTATGCTCATTGTCCATTTAATCAGCTCCACTTACTATATAGGTGCACTTTGTAGTTCTACAGTTACAGACTGTAGTCCATCTGTTTCTCTGATACTTTGTTAGCCCCCTTTTACCCTGTTCTTCAGTGGTCAGGACCCCCATGGACCCCCACAGAGCAGGTATTATTTGGGTGGTGGATCATTCTCAGCATTGCAGTAACACTGACGTGGTGGTGGTGTGTTAGTGTGTGTTGCGCTGGTCTGAGTGGATCAGACACAGCAGTGCTGCTGGAGTTTTTAAACACTGTGTCCACTCACTGTCCTCTGTATTACACATTTACCCTGTTGGTCCACCTTTTAGATGTAAAGTAAGACACCAATAGCTCATCTGCTGCTGCACAGTTTGTGTGTGGTCATCCTCTAGTCCTTCATCAGTGGTCACAGGACGCTGCCCACAGGACACTGTTGGTTGGATATTTTTGGTGGACTATTCTCAGTCCAGCAGTGACACCGAGGTGTTTAAAAACTCCAGCATCACTGCTGTGTCTGATCCACTCATACCAGCACAACACAATAATGCCTGGCCACTTCATTAAGTTCACCTCCTAGTTTCTACATTCTTTGTCCATTTTATCAGCTCCACTTGTCATATAGGTGCACTTTGTAGTTCTACACTTGCAGACTGTAGTCCATCTGTCACCGCGTTCTTGCTATGCATGCTGTATTTGTGAATTTTCCCTGTGTTCACAGATACACTTTTGTCCATAACAACTACATTAGCCTCTAGCTAAAACTGAGAAAGCAAACCAGGCATGTCTTAGATGATCGACTGCCTGTAGGGTTTTTGTATTTGTATTTTTACCCAACTTTTCCACCAATTTAGTCATTGCCAATTCCTGTCAGTCTCCATGAATGCATATACAGCTACCAATCTACAAGAGTGAAGGATACCATGTGCTTCCCCTGAGACACATGAAGCACCACCGCCAGTATACTGCCAGCAGGGGCTAATGATGGGGAAGGGGGAGGACCACCCTTCCCACTCAGTGTGTTCAGTTATGCTCGTTTGGACTCCCGGCCATGGATTCATCAGCAGGGATCAAACTCGGTATGGGAAATTTCGATTTTTCGCCACACTGACACTTTAAGTACTGCTGATGACACAGCTGAAAGGTAAGCTGATGCAGGTTAAAATAATAATGAATTTTCAGTGACTGGAACCGCCTCCCTTATGGTGCGTCATACAACATTTACCTGACATGTTGCAGTAGATTAGCTGGGGCTTGATGGGTCCGCTTCCATCCACGTCTACGTGGTAGTACCCCGAAGTGTTCCCTCTGTGCTTGTACGCTTCACATGACGGCTCGTAGATGGCTGGTAAAGATGGAAAAACAAGTTACCTCTGAGAGCACTTGACAAATGAACAACGCAGAGACGGACGCAAAAGCGCTCTTGCCGCAAAACGTAACAGTTGCCGCTCTGTATGAAAATGTATGTGGGAGCAGAGATAATGAAGTGTGGCAGTCCTCATTAGGCACTCTAGGTGTAGGCTGCTTTTTATAGAGCCAACGGCTCGGTACGTGTCAGACTTAACACCATATGAATTCGGGATGGGGGGTATAGGCATCTTTGCTAACACAGCATTAATTTTTCATGCCTGCTATGTGTGAAAACACGAGCTTGGCAGCCACAGGGTCAGCCCCAACCAGTCTTCAAACACAACTTCTACATTCACACTGTATACTACATTAACCCGTTTGCATGCATAGCAGCGCGTACACTGAGTTTGTTCATCGTAAGGCTTCACTTTGCTCTGGTGAACTTAGATCTGGACTCTACATGACTTGGCTCAGTGTTGCCCTTCATGACCTTAACAGAATTCTCTTGTTTCATACAGATCTGAACTGTTCTACAGTATTGAATTATTGAAGGCATACATCTGCTATGGACTCTGATGGCTTTAAATATAGTCTCGCTACCCACTTTATTAGAAACCCCTGCCTTGTACTTCCACTCACTGGCCACTTCATTAGAAACACCTGTCTTGCATGTCCACTCACTGGCCAGTTTATTAGAAACACCTGCATTGCATGTCCACTTACTGGTCACTTTATGAGCTGCACCTACCTTAAAAGTTCACTATACAGCTGGTAGTATATTTCAAATAAAAAAGACATTTCAAAGCAAAACAATGTCTTTTTGGATCAAAATGCTATGTTTGTTTATGTTAGTACAGTGTTATATGCACCGGCTGCTAAATGGAGATCCTAAACAGAACCCCTACCCTCAGACTGACTGGTCTATATGTCAGATGGTTGCCTGTGTCACTGCACAGAGGGGGCATCTACCAGTGCTGAGTGTCAGAAAGGCATATACCAGATGCTTTTTAAGTATACTTAAGACAGCGTGTTGTGCGGCACCTCGATTTTGTTTGTTGTCATTGGAAATATACTGTCAGCAGGGGTGATTTAATGCCCAGGGGCCCGATTGGCCTTTTTTAAAATTGTATACATTTTGTATGTGATTTATTTATTCCCCCTCCAACGCCTGGGCCTACCACTGTCTTACCAGGTCAAACTGGAAAAGAAATGATTCTAATAAATTTTAAAAAATTATGAATTTGTAAAGATTTGTGAAATTTGATTTGAGTGCTGCTATCCTTATGGCCAATCAAATCATACACTTTCCGCCAAACTCCATCTTCTTTTCTCAGCCCTCCAAACACTGCACAGGAATTGTTGCTACCCCTTAAGCCTCCAACTTTTCTGTGTGCCAGTGTTTGAATATGAAGATCAAGTTGTTGTTAAAAGATGTACATTTAACAGTGAGATTCCATCCTGTAGAGTTTGTTGTTTTCTACCCACCCAAAGCCAAAACGTTATCAGTTTTCAGTGCTCTTTTACTACAGAGGCAGAAACAGGCTTTGTGAAAATGTCAAAGCAAATGTCTAATGTTACCTCAATGCATCTAAGCTGAGAAATGAACAGACCATGAACATTTTTCATGCGTGCTGTGACAGCATGTGTTTGGCTTTGATTACTAGGATTTGGTTTTCAAGTTTGCTGTGTTTAACTTGGCTAGTTGTCTGGGCAGTTGTGTCTGTGGTGAGCGGACATGTGCTTCGTAGTGAAGGATGCTGCAGTGTTGGGTTTTCAAATATCAGTTTGGATGAATTTGGTGGATTTATCACATTTAGTATCAGCTAACAGACTCTTCCTCAAACTAGCTGTATTTGAGCTAAAAGGTATGAGTGGAGCTGAAACTGGCTTATTATTTGAATTTTCTGTTCCACCTTAAATGGTGCAGCAGTTACAGGTGCCAGAATAAAGCTACCACTGCTAACATTTCCTTTCTTTAAGATACGATCTTATGTATCCACTGAGATCCAGCACACGACTGTCTTCTAAATATAGGTTCTGTTGTGTGAGTCTTTAGTACTGTGAGTGAAATAAAGCAGCTTTAATTATAACCATCTGCACTGAGTTCTTGGCAGAGAATTCTAGATGGAATAGAATGGAGAATGTTAATTATGATTAAGGTGTGTGTGCAAAATCCCAAAAAAACCCCTCATATGAATAAAGTAATTGAATGCTATATGAAATCTGTGTAATTCTGTATGCATGACTCGAAACCATATCAACAGACAGATTTTGATTATTATCGCTAATAGAGCTCCATGACAATCTGGTCGCGAGCCCAGAATTGCAATTAAAGTCGAGAATGATACATTTACAGGATAATGTGCCAAGACTGTGTACTCACACTGTTCTTGAACATATTCTACACTTTGGCAGTGTTGCTGTATATAAAAACACTGTCAGCGTGAGTAGGCGGGTCAAAACTAATTAGGAGAATGCGTTATGTTTCATTACTCCTGACCACTAGAGGGCGACGGCAAGGCTTTAGTATTGGATGATCTTGACGCCCTTACAGGTTAAGCCCTTATAGCAGATGTGAGGGGATGGAGAAGTGTTACTGCAGGAAAGCCAGATAAGCCACTCCCCTGGAAAAAAATGCCTCAATTACACACAATGAATGTGCTAACAAAGTAAGAAAGGAAGTAACACAGGATGTTGTATGAAGTAGTGATGGTAGAATGCAAATCAGGAATGAAAGGGGAAATGTCAAAGATCTTAATTTGCAGCTTAAAATGAGTTTGGGGCCACAACACGAGCCAATGTGCCCTCTCAAAAAAAGACATTTTGTTCTTATCCAGCTGAGAACATTGACTTGACCATCCAGCATCCCAAGGAAAGCCTCTCCAGGCACCAGTGCCTGTACAAAATAAGGTGGGCATGGGAATTGGGTGGGGGCTCTTTAAATTACACAAGATGACTTTTGGGGGCTCGCAGTATGGTTGTCGAAAAAAGTAGCCTGCATAGCTTACATTAATTATATGCAGTACTGTGTTAAAGTCTAAGGCTGGCTTTAAATGGTGAAACTTTCATGCAACTAGTTGCACGTTGTGAGTTACCAGCAATATAATTTCCTTGCAATTTGACAGTTACATGAAGCAATTAAAAAATAAAGCTGCACATTTCATTTAGTCCACTAGTTAGTTAAATTAGCAGCTCATATTTTTGATGCACCGTATCGTTCTAGTTATGAAGTTACACAGAGACGTTCTTTATATATTTGCAGTAGGCCTGTCACAATTATTACATGATCACCTGATCGCAATTATTTACTCTGACAGCAACTATTTTTCAAAGTCATTAGATTCACAGTTGTATTGCACAATGTAGACTGGATGCATTTTCATTAGTTCGCTTGAGCCATATATATACTATATACACTGCACAGAGTATAGCATCAACTCAATTCAACTTCTGGGATATTGATCTGGTCAGTTAAGTAGCGGGGGGGTTGCTGATCAGTTTCAGCTGCTTTGGTGTTAATGAAATTAACAACAGGTGCACTAGAGGAACAACAATGAGACGACCCCCAAAACAGGAATGGTTTAATAGGTGGAGGCCATTAACATTTTGTCCCTCCTCATCTTTTCTGACTGATTTTTCACTAGTTTTGCAGTTGGCTTGGGTCAGCGTCACTACTAGTACCATGGTGCGGCACCTGGACCCTACAGAGGTTGCACAGGTAGTCCAACTCCTGTAGCATGGCACATCAATACGTGTCATTGCCAGAAGGTTTGCTGTGTCTCCCAGCACAGTCTTAAGAGTATGGAGGAGATTCCAGGAGACTCTAGCAGTTACTCTAGGAGAGCTGGACAAGGCCGTAGAAGGTCCTTAACCCCTCAGCAGGACCAGTATCTGCTCCTTTGTGCAAGGAGGAACAGGTTGAGCACTGCCAGAGCCCTACAAAATGAACTCCAGCAGGCCACTGGTGTGAATGTGTCTGACCAAACAATCAGAAACAGGCTTCATGAGGGTGGCCTGAGGGCCTGACGTCCTGTAGTGGGCCCTGTGCTCAGTGCCCAGCACCGTAGAGCTCGTCTGGCATTTGCCATAGAACACTGGAATTGGCAGATCCGCCACTGGTGCCCTGTGCTTTTCACAGATGAGAGCAGGTTTCACCTGAGCACATGTGACAGACGTGACAGGGTCTGGAGATGCCGTAGAGAACGTTATGCCGCCTGCAACATCATTCAGCATGACCGGTTTGATGGTGGGTCAGTGATGGTCTGGGAAGGAACATGCCTGGAAGGACGCACAGACCTCTACAGGCTAGACAACGGCACCCTGACTCCCATTAGGTATCGGGATGAAATCCTTGGACCCATTGTCAGACCCTACGCTGGTGCAGTGGGTCCTGGGTTCTTCCTGGTGCATGACAATGCCTGGCCTCATGTGGTGAGAGTATGCAGGCAGTTCTTGGAGGATGAAGGAATTGATACCACTGACTGGCCCCCCAGCTCGCCTGACCTAAATCCAGTAGAACACCTCTGGGACATTGTTTTTTTGGTCCATCCGACGTCGCCAGGTTGCACTTCAGACTGTCCAGGAGCTCAGTGATGCCCTGGTCCAGATCTGGGAGGAGATCCCCCAGGACACCATCCGTCGTCTCATTAGGAGCATGCCCTGATGTTGTCAGGCATGCATACAAGCACGTGGAGGCCATACAAACTACTGCGTACCATTTTGAGTTGCTGTAATGTAATTTCGGCTAAATGGACTAGCCTTCTGCATCATTTTTACATTTTATTTTTTGCTCATGCATTCACAGTGTCTGTGTATTTTTTCTTGTTAGCTGCAAATATAAAGAGATAGGAAACAAAATAGCTAACAATCCAATGTAGCTGCTTAGACTTGTACTTTGAGTAGCCTAAAATGAACAAAACAGCCAACTAAACCATTAAAGACAATTATTAATAAACAACAATTAATCGTCAGCTAAAATGTCTGACAAAAAGCCTG